AAATATTTATGTATAAAAAATATTTTATATATAGAAGTGAGTTAGAAAATTTTTTTTATTAAATTTCAATAAAAAATTTATTATATTATTTAAATTATTTAAACAATTACAGATATATATTTTTGAAACAAAAATGAAATAAAAGAAAATTTATTTTCAAATTTACATATATGTAATATCAATATTCTTTATTAAATTAAAATCTCGGAAAAGATATTTGTTAATTATAGACTGTAATGAGAAATATAAATATTTAGATGTATCGATGTTCTTTATATAAAACAATTGAAGTTATCTATAAGAAATAATATATTTACACTATTAAAGCCAAGAACGGAATTGTTGAAGAGGTATTTGCTATAACGTGTCAACTCGTGTATCAATATGGCGGCGAATCTCGAAGAAGAGCAAAGTTTAAGAGAGTGCGAGGAATACGTACAAAGACACAATATTCAACAAGTTTTAAAAGACTGTATAGTGCAGCTGTGTGTAGGTCGTCCTGAAAATCCCATATCTTTCTTGAGAGAATACTTTCAAAAACTGGAACGGGTATGTATTGAATCATGTCCTATTAAAATAACCTTAGATTTCTTATTTTTTACTTATTTAACTCGTTACTTATAAATCTAGTAATCTAATTTTTTATGATGTATTTTCTCTTACTTTAAAGATGAGTATTTATTTATAGTAAAATAAATGTGAGAAAAAAATATCAAAATGTTAGATAAATTGTATACATTATATTGTAGATTTGTCAAAGGATTAGTAAATGTTAAGATTAATAAAATTACATACATATATATTATACTATACAATAAATTTTATTACTGTTTTATTTTATTTTATTATTGTTTTAATACAAAATTTTGTATAAAATTATTATAAAAAGAATTTATTTACAATTTTATAAACAAGTTATTTTGATCAATACAAATAGATTGATATATGTACATATATCAATTTAATAAATTTTATTTTATAATTAAAAATTTTATATTTAATAAAATTATATTATATATCTATAATTAAATACATTTTTTATATACATAATTAAATAATTAAAAAAAATAATTAAATTGAAAGTTGTATTTATTGTATAATAAAAATAAAATGTATTCAATACACTTAACATAATATAAATAAAATGCAATAAAGTAATGTAACAAAAATTTAATTTTTTTCATTTTAATTTTAAAATAATGTTATGTTTTATATTTTCTAATAATTTACTTTTTTTTTAATTTGACATTTTATAATTTATTTATTTATTTTCTTTTTGTATATTATGCTTTGATACATCAATGCTGTTATAGAAAAAAATCTTATATATATATTAAATATGTGCGTAATATTTAATATTATAATAAAGTAATAAATGTTCGATATTATAAGGAACTTTTTACTAAACAAACAACCATTTAAAAATTTGCTATTGTTGAATGAATTAAAATAAAGCGTAAAATGTGATTACGAATAAATCGAAACAAAATTTAGAGATTTATATACAAAATTTTAAATATTTTTTTTAATATTAATTTAACTATTTGATTATTTATTTATTTATTCAATATTCATTTTATTAGTTTTTTTAAGTAGATGTTGATAAATAGCAAGAATGGCGGTAAATATTGTTAGTTATAAAAATACTATACACTATTATTTTCTATAATTTTTATCATCAAATATTTGTGTTTTTATATATAAATATTTATAAGCAATATTTATTTTAACAATAATCAATATTATATTTTAATTTATTCTCATTATAATGAAAAAAGATGTTTTTAAAATAATTATATTAAAAATATAGAATTTTTAAATATATATTTTTTCCTTGGAATTCTGCAAAAATCCTTTTGCAGAATTTAAAAAAGATTTAAAATTTTCATAAACAATGGATATTTGGTTATTTCTTTTTTTTTTTTTGTGTTGTATAGTGGATAAAATCATATTGCATAAAATGATTAATATTTTTTATTTCTCATTTCAAATAAACATAATATGAGAGCAACAAAAAAAGAAACTTGACATCAGTTCTTATTACTGTATAACACATATATCGAAAGAGAGTATGTGTGACTACAGGGGCTGCTCTAAATATAGCATATGCTCGAAATATAACTAAGCGCGCAACCTTAGCCAACAACTACAAAAGTTGTATAGGTATTTAATGCGTCGTCCTCGAAAATGTGCGAAGCGCGCTGCAATAATATATTTAAAACAAGCAATACCGGAAATACGTTATCATCCATTCGGATTTCATCTCTAAATAAATTATCTATCGATTCAATTTTGCATTAACGAAAAATATCATTATTTTATAACATAAAATATCATCTAGCACACAGTACCAACTTTGCAAGTAAATACTACGAAAGATCGTATTAATCGAATTTAGCGAGACCTTAGAAAATTCAAGCGACACACATTAGATATATAACGCGCGATCAGGAAAGATTCGTAATTGTGATTTGTATGTTTCTTTCGTTTACAATTATTCGAGTATGTGAAACAAGTGTTAGTGAAAAAATTTATATAATAATTGAATAAAAAAGACATTGCTTATTTTGTGTTAAATATCGAATTAATATCAACAAATAATGAACGAGGTATGATCGAATTTTATACAAGATTTATATTGTTCAATATACATTTTATATGTTTTAACATTTGTGCATATTAATATCATTTGTGCATATAATTATATGTAATTTTCCGATTTTTGAATGTATTGTACTGAGTAAGGAACAATTTCAAATTTACTTTGACACTTTATATTACTTATTGTTTTAATGACTATTAAGCAATTTATGCAAAACAACGATAATAACAACAATCAATGATAATATTTTATATTTTTTTTATACAATTTTTATGAAGAAATAAATCATGAAATATGAAATGGAATTTTATTATAATTTATTAAAAATAATCGAATGATAGATGTGAATTTTTTTTTATGATATAACGCACATAATATTTAATTGTACGCATGTCAAATATCATTTCAGCACGTGTTAAAATCATTGATCAATTGATTTTTATTGTTTTACTATTTCAAATTTGATATTATTGTCAATTCGTAACTTTCATAAAATAGTATTATTTTAAATGTTTCAAATATATATTTTTGCATATCTTCTTCTTCTGCAAATCATGCAAATCATCTTAATATGTTTATCATATAATTTATGTAAAGATATTATTTTATTATAGCTTATTTCAAAAAATTTAATTCGTTTAACTAATATCAGTTAATAAAATCTAAAAAATATAAAATAAATGTGCAATTGTTACAAATAGTTGTTTAATAGTTTGCAAATGCTTAAGAATTTATTAACATAAAAATATAATATTGTATAATTCTGAGTAATAAAAGAAAAAATTAAAAATTATAATTGATTTTTAACAAAATTTTTTTATAATTAATTTGAAACAATTGTAATCGCTAATATTTATTCGATATAAATTAATATTTAATCGATTAACTTTTCTAAATATAATCTATAAATTAAAAAAAATAAATATAATTTAATATCTATAATTTTAAAAAAAACGAATAACTCCTAATTTATTTTAGTGTTTATGAGTATATAAATTTTTGATCAATATATAAATAGATAACTTATAAATTTTGATTTTTAAATATTTTATAGAAAATAAAATTTCAAACAATTTTTTCTTATATACAATCTTCAGTTAATCTTTGTTTTTAAAATATTTGCAAAAAATGATGCTATTACTATATTGAATTTCACTTGTAAGTCCTTGACAATATGTGTATCATACTATTATTCACGAACAGCTTATAAAACATAATTGCTAGTGTGAAGTTTAAATAAAGTGTGAATATTTAAATAAATTCATTTCTAAATAATAAGAATCTGTTTATGAATTGTTTAATATATATGAATACCATATAATAGTTCCACAGTTTGCAAATAGTTTGTGAACAATTTTAGTCAATATAAAGATGCGATTTATTATAATTGTCGATATTTAAAATATGCCTTATATTTATCATTGTTATTTCAATCAATTGTTTTATATTTTGGATAAATATAAAATGTGATGATTTTTGCTTAATGCTAAATTTTATTGTAATAATAATTATGTTTGTAAATATATCAAAAAGGCCAATTAACGATTGTATATGTAAGAAAAAATTCAAAATCTCATCTTCTATGAATATTTAAATATTACCAAAATTCATGAGAATTAAAAATTATGAATGAAATGAAAATTTGTTATACATCGATGTGTTATACATCGATTTTGTTTTTAACTGTAATTGAATTTTAATAAAATATACAAGATTCAGAAAAAAATCATATTGTTATAATGTTTTTATATTATATGCGCATTTATAAGGTGGCATTCATCTATAAAAACGGCAAGTGACCTATGACATTATTTGCTCACCTTTTCATCGATATTCATCGTTCATAAGCTGTGTAATATTTTATCCAATATAATTTTATAATAAGTAGTCAATTTTCGAAGAACATAAAGTGATACTTATAAAAATATTTAATAGAAATTTTTTTACTTACTTACTTACTTTCACTATATAACGAAATTTATTTTAAAATATCTTATAGTAGGTATCTTATAGTAAGTATTAGGTATTTCATTATTCTTTATTATTGAAAGATTAATCATTTAAATTTTTATAAATGTATTAAAAAAGAATAATTTTTAAAGATTTGATATTTTTTATCATTGGAAAAAGTTAAAAATGCTAAAAATAAAATAAACTATATTATTTGTCATTTAAAAATTATTAACTATGAATTAAAAAAGTAGAAATCTTGGCATATCAAATTTTTCTGTGGAAAAAATAATGCATATTTTTTGTGATCTAATTAATATATTTGCAATTGTTTATATTTGCAATATATATTTAAGAAATTGAAAATATATGATTTCATTGAAAGAAGGGCACAATATTATGCATTGCGCATGTCTAAGCAAAATTGACTTATAAAAGCGGCTTGTTTGTCTTACGTGAATCTTTCAGGGTTGCATCGTTTTGGAATAAATAAATAATAAGCAAAAGTTTAAAAAAAAATTTATTGATTTGATATAAAATCGAAGATAAGAAAACATCAGCTTTCGACATGGTGCAACAGGCAAGTAAAGTAAAATACATGAGCAGCGTTGAATTTTCTAATCGGTAATATTTTAATCTACATGATATAAACAAAAGAAAATAGATATGAAAATGAAATTATCTAATCGAATAAGGGATATTCCTTAAATAGAACAATATATACTTATTTTTTTTTTCTCTTAGATTAAATTTTTTAATAATTTAAAAAGTTTCAAATTTAAAAAATTTCTTTGATAAATTCTTTCTTTGAAAAATCAAAATATGTGTAATATATATTGAATATAATAAAAATTATTTCAATAAAATTAATTGACTTTCGTTTTTTTTGATTTCAGGAACAAGCTCATGATGCTAAACAACAAATTGCAACTAGTCCAGAGGATACCGAGGACATACCTGCTGGGCAACAAGGTCCCCAAGTTCCCAGACGCAGAGGAGGCATCTCTGCGGAACCAGTCTCCGAAGAAGATGCGACTAGTTATGTCAAAAAAGTCGTACCTAAGGATTATAAAACAATGGCTGCCCTGAGTAAAGCAATTGCTAAAAACGTCCTCTTTGCTCATCTTGATGAAAATGAACGTTCTGATATTTTTGATGCTATGTTCCCTGTTACTTTTTTGCCTGGAGAAGCAATTATTCGGCAAGGTACTTAAAAAAATATATATTGAATACATTATACCTGTTATTAATTAATTAACAATAATTAACCAAGTATTTTTAATTGCTTGAATCAAATATTTTTTGTCAAATATTAATAGGCGACGAAGGCGACAATTTTTATGTAATCGATCAAGGAGAAGTTGAAATCTTTGTTAATGGTGAATTAGCCACAACAATAGGAGAAGGTGGAAGTTTTGGTGAACTTGCATTAATATACGGGACTCCTCGTGCTGCAACTGTTCGTGCAAAAACAGATGTGAAATTATGGGGTATTGATAGAGATTCTTATCGAAGAATCCTTATGGGTTCTACTATAAGAAAACGAAAGATGTACGAAGAATTCCTTTCCAGAGTTTCAATTTTGGGTAAATAACGTTTATTATTCAATAACAATTACGTTCCATGAAAATATATTAAAATTATTAATTTTATACAAAATTGTTATTTTTAGAATCTTTGGATAAGTGGGAACGACTCACAGTAGCTGATGCTTTAGAACCAGTGGCATTTGATGATGGTGAGACTATAGTTCGACAAGGTGAACCAGGTGAAGATTTTTATATAATTGTTGAGGGTACAGCTGTTGTTTTACAACAACGTTCAGAAGGTGAAGAACCAGCGGAAGTTGGTCGTTTAGGACCATCTGATTATTTTGGTATATTTTATTTTCAAATTATTATTAATAATTATGTAATTAAGTAATTATAAATTTTTTAAATAAATTTAATGGTATGCTAGTAATAATTTTCTATTGATTTTAGGTGAAATTGCATTACTATTGGATAGGCCAAGGGCAGCAACTGTTGTTGCGCGAGGTCCTTTAAAATGTGTAAAACTCGATAGAGCAAGATTTGAACGAGTTTTAGGACCGTGTGCAGATATTTTGAAACGCAACATTACCCAGTATAATAGTTTTGTGTCCCTATCCGTATAAATTACTGTATCAGCGATATTATCAGCCTTTAATTTTTTTTTAGTACGTTTCATTATTAACATTTTTTATTTGAATAATGTAAGTAATTGTATCATATCAAATAACGATATAGTCGTGTTAAGAATTATATATGTTAAATAATATATAACTGTTTATTAAATTTATACTTATCGTATTATGAATATTATGATAAATGGTGATTTGAAAATTTCGTAACAAATCTAAATTTTATTAAAAAATTTTTTTTTAAAATTGAAAAAATACAACTATTATTTACAACTATTATTAAATAATTAAATTTAAATCTAGCTTAAATGATTCTTTTAAAATTTAAAAACATTATCTTTCTTCTTTGTGAATTTTTTTGTTATACGAATTTTTATTGTTTATTATAATGCAATTGATATATATTTTTGCAAAAACATATATAATTCTTATAACGCAAAATGAATAATTAAATTTCGTAATATATTAGGTTATTACGTACTTTATAACTTGCTATACAGGCGTCATAGAGATCAAATCTTAGCTACTTTTACACAAACATATTTCTTTAAAATACTCGAAACCTGTGAAAGTATTTGGAAACAATTTAATAACTGTAATTCCATTTGTTGACAAGTTTTTTCGATCTTTAATGGAACGAATAAAAAAAATGTTATTATGTTATTGAATCATAGGTTTCATTTTCTATTATAGTAATATTTTTATTTATTTTAAATGAAATTTTAAATGAATTTTATAGTTTTGAAAACGTGTGAAGTAGAATTATTATATGTATTACACAATGATTAATTTACACGTATATGAGATCAGGAAAAAAATTATAAAGAGAAATATGTAATTTAAATTTTTATGTCGCGATGAATTTAAAAACTAAAATTCAGCTGTAACATCGCACAATTTTATTGGCAATTTATGCACAAGAACTGATTAAAAAAATTCTATATTAAGTAATTGCGTTGATTGCTTATACAAATTTATCACATTGTAAATTCAATAAAAAAACAGGTTTTGATCATTGAAATTAATTAATTAAAATATGCTTTATTCAATTTCCATATCTGCAATATAATTAACAATTATATATTTAATTGCAACAAATTTGTATTTTTTAATACAATATATTTATTTTAAATTTTTTCTGAACATTTATTACTTTTATTACATAATAAAAATTTTATTTTGTTTCATATAAATATAAAAAAAATTTTTATATATATTATTTAATTATTATTATTTTTAAAGTAAAAATAAATATTAAATTGAAATAAACTCATTTGTTCTATGTAGAAAATTATTAACACAAAGAAGAGTTATAGCAAAGTATGTATTTATTTTTTAATTATCAATTAAATCTTTTAATATAAAATCATATGTTATAAATTAAATGATTGAAGATTTATGATTTATGAAAGATCCATTATACTTCTATATATAATTTGGGAATAGATTTGATTGTCATATATCAAAATATAATTTTTAATGACTTAGAAAAAAATTATAGATTTTAGTAATCATTCATTATTCAAATATTAAATATATATAATAAATTTTATGTTTATTAATAATAAAATCATAATTTAGATTTATCTAAATATATTAGGTTTTAAACATAGATTAAAAAGTAATATAATATTCAAAAATTAAATAATTTATTACGTACAACACTATATTCAAATGTGATCGTACAATGAAATCTTTCTTCTTTCATTATATACCTCTGTACTCCTGTGTTTTGGATAAAACATAAAGATAAAATTCTCGACACTCGAGAATCGACAACAAACTGTTAAGGAAAAAAAGCATTGTCCTGTAGTAAACACTTAGAAAGATAAAAATAATCACTCTTCACACACGAGAATGATTTAGATACCAATATGCATTTGTCCCGTTAAAAGTTTCTAATTGTTGATTCTTGAACACGATTCATCGAATATTTTCATTTTCTTAGAACATATGTTTCATGTTGTTGTTACCACCAAATCAAAACTTGTTCTTCCCATGTTTTTTCTCTTCTTTCTTCATCAACGAAATGTCGAGCATGCCAATTTCTTGTCAAACCCTCAATAATTTTAATTTTTACCAAAAAACCCTTCATAGTAATTACATATATTCATTTTCATTGATTCCAATTCTTTATATTTTTTATCGTAGAAATAATTGCAAATTTATACTACGAATCGATAATTCTTCGAAATGACGAAACGTAGATACTTGTATAGAGCAAAAGATTTGATAAATAGTTAAAAAAATCCGATTTCTTTTAGTGGATCTTGTTTGGAAAAAGAATTACCAGAAATAAGACTAAAAATTCATATATGACATGAATAAATTGTAGAGAATTGATCAGCTGTGATCAAAGAAATTTGAAGTTCTGACCAAACAAGAAGTATTCGTTCTCTGAAGATAACTTTCTATTGTTTTCTCTCTCTTTTCGTAATTTACTACGAACTCGGTTTCATACCGAAGTCTATTGAGGTAGTTACGGACGACTTTAAAACGGTCATCCTAATTTTTTTGTACAATTCACATCAGCCTGTAAATGCATTCTTCGTTTGCGCTGGGCTGAGATTGAGATACGTATATGTACAAATTATTGCGGGGAAAACTTTCATTTACAAATTGTTGCTCGACTGTTGTAACGTCGATCAACGAAGAGAACAATGATTAGGGGATGGTAAGAATTATCAGTAATCAATGTGTAATTAAATATATGCACATGCATATGCATATGTTAAACCTACATATGCATAATTGGAAAACATATGCATATACACACACAAATTTGTGCCTATGAATGTGCACAATAATGATTTTTGTTTATACATCTTCCACGAAAAAAGAGTGATGTTGCTTTTTTACCAAGCACCTACAGAACCACTGCTTGTCTTGCAGTCGATTAGATGTTGTTCAGGATCAGCATAAACCAACCCCAATTCATTGACAAATTCATAAAACTTGTCCAAAGATTCAAAGGCCAATTCTGCTACGATGAAATCAACCGCCAAATTTTGCCGGTAGCTAAACAGCAGAAGAAATGTATCGTTAGATCATGCATTGAATATATGTATATAAAAAATGTACAAACATATATATATATGTATATATATATATAGTACAATGAAAATAAATAATAACTACAAAACTAGTCATTTTTCGGCTACGATGTCCTGTAACAGAAATCTATATATATAATTATAATTGGTAAAAAAATTATTTGCAATTTTTCACTTCTCCCATTCTCGAAAAGCTTAATCTCTGAAATAGTTTTCCATTTCTTTACAAATTAACAATAGATAGTATTTATCCATTAAGATTTGAAAAAAAACAATTAAATATATTTCTGTCAATTTTATTTATAGAAATATATTTAAAGATTGTCTAAAAATAAAAAATATATTTCATTAGTTTTAAAAAATTGCAAAAAAATTATTAAATAAAATTAGTTTAAAGTTAAAAAAACTATACTAACTAGCAATTTATCAATTAAATATATCTAATCATATAGAATTATGTTATGTTTCAATTGATTATATTCTTTTGCATTGTGATTAATTTTTTGTAAAGTACTAAACAGATTTATTAATAAAAACAAATACGAATGATTTCTAAAGAGTTTAGTACATACGACTTTATCATGCTCTTCAATGCATTCTTGCGTTCCCTTGCAACAAACCAATCCATTAAAAAGGCTGCCATCCTTGGAGCAGAAGTATATAACTTGAAAAAGGCATGAAAGTTGCCTAACCACCATGCTGAACGTACTTTTAGTGCATGCTTTATGCACTCATCATTCTTGTCTTCTGTTGATAAAGCTGCTAAAATGGTTGTTAAATCTATAATAAAAATATTAATTTTTTAATTTCTATATATAAAAAATATTGTATTGTTATTAAATTGTATATAGAATTATTAAAAACCTTGAGTATTTTTCGTGAAAATATAATATAATATTCTATATGCAATAAATTCACATCGATTTTCTCCACCAACATCTTGATATAACATCCTTAATTGCGTTTGACATTGGTTGAATTCTTCATGGTCTCCTTTTTCTAGAGCGACGCGAGCGTGTGTTTCATATACATGGACTGTAAATGCATCTCGAATACCTTGGACGGTAAGATCTTGACGAATAGATTTAAGTTGATCACAAGCATATCTATAGTCCTGATCAGCCACCCAACGTTTCTTGACATGTGCCAAAGAATTTTGGAGTACACTTACCGGTCGAACAGCGGACGGAGCTGGAGCCTATATAACAAATATTTAAATCAATTTTAGATTAATTTCAAATAAATTTGATGACTGATGAAAATTTGATAAAAAAAAAAAAATCTTACAGATGTTAAACGTAAATATGGTTTTTCTATATCCTTGCATATTCCAACAATGTGAAGTCCAGTAAAATCAAAATCTGTAGAAGAATCATCTTTAACACCATTGCTGACTGTCCTAGAAATAGTATCGTTAAATCTTGCAGCACGTTGCTGTAATTTCTCCTTGGATCCTAATTCCTCAGTGTTTCCTGTAGCTAAACCAAATTCTGAATAGAAATGTGATTTCATCTGTTTAGTCTTCTTTGTTTTCTTGCTGTTGTGACTCGGTTTGCTTTTAGTAGATTTTTTCGTTTTTAATGATTTATAATCGTGTTCCCGATCACTAACGTTCGACGACGACGATGTACTACGTCTGTATTTTCGTGATGGTGGACTACGTGTATTTGAACGTGACCTCGACTTTGACCTCGATCTCGACCTCGACCTCGATCTTGATTTTGATCTTGATCTTGATCTTGATCTAGTTCTCGACCTTGATCGTTTGTAATTCACAGAGAGACGAGCGCCAAGCCGAGCCCCGAGAGAAGTGGAGAGACCTGGCTTGCGCAAGCCTCCCTGTGCATTTATCAGTGGATTTGGTAAATTATTTAATTTCAAGGCCGGTTTTTGAGGTTTTATCGTCATAGTCATACGTTCACTATGAATGCTAGGCAAAGGTTCTTGGTCCCAATCTTTCACCCAAAGTGAGCCATCATTCGCGGCGCGCGT